CAACCAAATTACCTTAAAAATTTAAATCACTTTGAAAAATTTGTTGCATTTTATTTTTAAAAAAAAACTTTGTATTAAAACCTTAAGAATGATATCATATTTTAAACTGATCCAAAATTTGAACAAACTGCTGTGTACTTACTGTATATTACAACTTTGTTAAAGGCAATATTTAATAATCGATTAAGAATACAGTTTAGTGAAACTTTAAGACAGTTTTCTGTTATTACAAAAATGTTGAGATTACAAATGTAGTCATGCAAAGGGTGTATACTTTTACTGCTCAAATACATTGTTTTAAAATATTTTCTGACATATTGATTCGTTTTTAATCAAAGCATGGATTCCCACATTATGATTGTTTAAAATTAATATATACTTATATAAAGATCTCAGTTGTACTCTATAATCTTAACTTACTAAATTAGTAGTTATACAATATCTCATATAATAAATTAAAGAAAATTTCTTTAATAAATGCAATAAGCTACTGAGAAGTCATGGACAAGTTTAAAATATTATCAATTAGACATTTTATACTTATTTCCTTCTTATAAAGAATATTCAGTGCATATTCTAATGTTTATTGATAAATCATTTACCTCTGAAATAATAAAAAAGTGTCTCATATTACATCCAAAGCAACAGTGGGTATTTTAGCTGATAGTCCTGGCTATATTACTTACCTATTATTTTGCATATTGGAAATCTTACAAAAAGAAATATTCTAAATTTAATGTGAGTTTCCGTATAACACTTTCTCATCCTGAAGACATTTTGCCAAGCCGGTTTAGCTGTGCTTTCTCTTTGTGCCTGCTGTTGGTAATATTTGACGAGATTTGACAGTTTTATAAAAGGCTTCCACTTTTGCTTGGCACTCACTCGGTCCTGCCATCCTGTGAAGAAGATGTCTGATTTTCCTTTGTCTTCCACCATGATTGTAAGTTTCCTGAGGCATCTCCAGCAATGCGGAATGGTGAGTCAATTAATTTTTTTCCTTTATAAATGACCCAGTCTTGGGTATTTGTTCAAAGCAGTGTAAGAACAAATGAATACATCCATATTATGTGTTTACCTTTGTCAAGATGAAACACTGGCTCAATTCATTGGAGTCTAATATAATCAGTTATTATGTATTTAAATAATGATGCCATCTCAGGGACTTAGTATTGGTCTCCGTTGCTGGCTAGTTAGTCATTCAGCAGTGGTTGTGGCTAAATCAGTCTTGGGACTTTCACCTCTGCCATCATGACCTCTTTGCTCATGTGCCTATCATATTAGCACAGGATTGACTGAGGACAGAGGCTGACTGATGTCAACTAGCTGAACAATCATGCATAATTTTTTTGTTTAGGTCTTCTTCATTGTTGTATACTATGTAACGGATGTTCATATTTGATAGTAATCGTCACCCTTCATATACATTTCCATAGATCCATCTATATGTCTCTAGCATAGAATTTCTAGTTCTAAATCTTTCAATCTTTTTCCTTCCAGACCCCTGACTCATCCAAGACATCTGTCACTGTCCATGTGTCACTTTATTTTCTAATGATGAATGATTTATCTTTCTACAAATTATAGGTGGCTAATTGCTCAAGCAAAGCACGGTACATCAGAAAAATTTTACATAATGAGTCTCTTTCAAGGCCACTCTAAACTAACTTCAGGTTTTTTTCCCCTCATTCATCAGCTGCTTGTAAAAAGCCCCCTTACAGTCATAGGTATAATGATGAATGAGGCACTGGTACAGCAGTAGTGCATGATGACATGAACTTCTGGGATTACTTCTCATGCAACTTGCTTGTGACCTATGTTCCCACTTCTGCAATATCCTGGATATACCAATGCCTCCTTCTATAAGATTTTTGTTGAGCTCACATGATCATGTAGACAGGGCGGCTTCTAAAATACCCAACCCATGATGGACAATTGTGATGGGGTCATCTGTAGGTAGCTCATAAACAGGGATTTTCTATCAGGACCAAGTAGCTTTCCAGCAGTCCAGTAGACTTTTCTGCTATTTTTTGATTGTTTGTTTTTCCTCAAAAGGTATGTAATCTTCCATGGCAGATACTATGACTTTGCTCCAAATACCAGGGTGGGGTACTAGCTTGTAATTCTCCCGTTGGGACTTTCTATAAACACTGCAGTCATCATATGTTCTCTTTTTCAGCTCTAGCAATTATAACACATATGGAAAAATGATTGCAAGTGGGTCTACTAGTTTTTTTTGGTTTTTGTTTTTTTGATTTTTTTGATTTGCAATAGTCTACAAAGATTTTTGATGATGCATCTGGTTTTGGCAAGTCCCAGACTTGTGAATTAGATGGTGCTATTTCGGGCCACACTACCCCTGAATCCTTCAGGTTCTTTTTTTTTTTTTTTTTTTTTTTTTTTTGATGGAGTTTCACTCTTGTCACCCAGGCTGGAGTGCAGTGGTGTAATCTTGGTTCACCGCAACCTCCGCCTCCCAGGTTCAAGCGACTCTCCTGCCTCAGTCTCCCAAGTAGCTGGAATTACAGGTTCCTGCCATCAAATCCAGGTAATTTTTTGTATTTTTAGTAGAGACAGGTTTCACTATGTTGGCCAGGCTGGACTTGAACTCCTAACCTTGTTGTCTGCCCACCTCAGCATCGCAAAGTGCTGGGATTACAGGCATGAGCCACTGTGCCCAGCTGAATCCTCCAGTTTTAAAAGTGGCACCAATTTCTGCTAAACTCCCTAAAATATCTTATTTTTAAACAATATGAATATATTGTAAATATAATGTAAATATAAATATAATGTAAAATATATTGTTTTTGATATGCTATCTCAGCCAAAGTATGAGGACAGTTTCAGAGTAGTCCATTTGGCCTTGTGCACTAGGCCTATGAGAAAAGGGCTTATACCAACAACTATGTATGTTAATTACAATATAACCAGTAAAAAATAAACAGAGTGAATCTTCAGATATAGAGGACACTCTGTGAGTTGGATTTTGGCCAGATCTGCATTTATTACTCAAGAAGTCTGAGCTCCAATTTAGCATAAGACCCGGATAATGGCCTAGGTTACTGGAGATCAATGTAGATTTGAAACTTTGGTTCAATTTTTCTCACAGTGTTCAAATATATTTTCCTAGTCAAAAGGTCCCTGAAAAATATCTATAGGTCCCTCTGGGGACCAACTAGGGGAATCAGTATGATTGAATTGACAGAATAGAGAACACAGAAATAAGGTCACACATCTATAGCCAACAGATCTTTGACAAACTTGACAAAAGCATACACTAGGGAAATGATATCCTTTTCAATAAATGTTGCCAAGAAAATTGGATTTCCATGTGCAGAAGAATGAAACTGGACCCGTATCTCTCATAATACACAAAAAATCAACTCAAGATAAATTAAAGACTTAAATAATAGACCTGAAACTATACAAATGCTAAAATAATACCTAGGGGAAACTCTTCTGGACATTGGTGTAGGCAAAGAATTTGTGAGTAAGACTTCAAAAGCACAAACAAACAAACAAAAGAAGAAACGGCACTTAGATTTTACATAGGAAAAAAAAAAATCAACAGAGTGAACAGACAATGGCAGAAAATATCTGCAAATTATGCATCCAATAGGGGACTAATACCCAGAATTTACAAGAAACTCAAACAATTCAGTAACAACAGCAACAAAAATAAAAACAACCCCTTTAAAAAGTGAGCAAAGGACATAAAGAGACATTTTTCAAAAGAAGACGTACAAATAGTCAAATTGCATGTGGGAAAATGCTCAAAGTCACTAATCAAAAAATAAATGCAAATTAAAACCATAATGAGGTTTCATCTTACACCAGTCAGAATGACTATTATTAAAAAGACAAAAAGTAGATGGTGAAAATACAGAGAAAAGGGAACACTTATTAGTAGGAATGTAAATTAGTACAATCTCTATGGAAAACAGTACAGAGATTTCCCAAAGAACTAAAAATAGAGCTACCACCATATGATCTAGCCGTGCCACTACTGGGTATCTACCCAATGGAACAGAAATCATTTTAAAAAAATCTGCTTTCTTGAGTTTATCACAGCACTATGTAATACAATACAATACCCAAGATACGGAGTCAACCTGTGTGCCCATCAGTGAATTACTCAATAAAGAAAATGGTATGTATAGAATGGAATACTATTTAGCAATAAAAAAGAATGAAATCATATATTTTGCAGCAACACAGATGGAACTGAAGGGCATTATTTTATGTGAAATAACTCAGAAACAGAAAGTTAAACACAGCATGTTCTCACTTGTAAGTGGGAGCTAAACAATTTGTACACATGGACATAGAAAGTTAAATAACAGACATTGGAGACTTGGAAGGGTTGAGAGTGGAAGGGAGGTGAGGGATTAAAAAAATACTTAGTGGGTACAATGTACAATATTCAGGTGATAAATATACTGAAAGCCCCAACTTAAGCATTATGTAATATGTTCATGTAAAACAACTTCCTTTGTGCTCCTTAAACTGATACCAAACGAAGCTTAAAAAATACATTTACATTTACTATCACATTGCAAGGTCTTTAATCTGGGAGACCTGGATTTTAATTCAGTCAGTATTTTCTGAGCCCAAAAACTGGCTCAGGTCCAAAATTTTGATAGTATGCAAATCAATTAACAACTTTGTTGACTGCCCATATATACTATCTGTTTAACTAAATATATATAATATATATAAAATATATAGTTATATATAAATTATATATAACATATAACTTATATATAATATATAATTATAATATATAAGTATATAATTATATAATGGATAGCCTCATTCCTCCCAGGTCCTTCCTCTTGCTATTAAAATATACTGAGCAAAAACAACAAACAGGCATAGGAAGAACTGTAAAAGTTGGAAAGAAGTTGGCAGACTACTGAAAGATCTTGTGCTTTGAGGAATGACTCAGCAATAGGTCCTTGATTTCCTTACTGGCTCTCATTTATCTCAGACAGGACATTACAGAAGTCTACAAGTCAGAAACTCCAATAGTCAATGACAAATAAAAGCTCAAAAAAAACCTGACTCTGTAGCCAAAGGATTGAGAAAAAATTGTCCTAACAAAACAGGAAGCAGGCTATGGCTTTTGCTGTAAGTACAAATTTGTAAATTATATATCTATATATTATATAGATATATATATAACTATATATTTATATATATACTTTTTTATGTTTATTTCCTCTGTTTCTCATTCCTTTCTCTTTTCTTGCCTTACTGTGGATTGTTTGAACATGATTTAGGATTTCTCCTTAATTTATGTATAATGCATTTTTAAGTTATTGCTTTGAATGGTTTTCTTAATAGTTGTTCTAAGTATTAAAATATGCGTATTTTAACACAGTCTACTGATATTGCTGTTTTCTTCCAAGTAGAATAAATGTAAAAATCTTCTAATTATATCCCTTTACCCTGCCCAATTTGTGTTATAATTATTTTAAGAATTTCCTTGACATGTACTGTACACAATATATTTTTAATTTTTACTTCAACAAACTGATGTAATTCAATAAATTTATAAGAACAGTATATTATATTTACCTTTATTTCTATTAATTTCAATGTTCTTTCTTTTCTGAAGTTCCAAGAACTTCATTTAGCTATTTTTTTAAGGTTAGTGAAAATTTGTCTTAGTTTTCTGTCATCCGGTGATGTTTTATTTTGTCTTTATTTCTGAAGGATAGTTTTGCCACATACAGAACTTGCACTTGATTCTTTTAGTACTTGAAACATGCAATGCTACTTTTTTTTTTTTTTTTGGACCTACGTGGTTTCGGAGGAGAAATCTACTGTTTTAGAAATGTTTTTTTCTCTATAAATAAGTTGCCATTTCTCTATGAATGCTTCCAAGATTCTTTATAATTATTCTTTATAATTATAATTTCTTTATAATTATAATTATTATTATAATTCTTTATAATTATAATTATTCTTTATAATTAGTTTTTTTAGAGTTAATTATCATGTCTTAGCTTTTTGTTAAGGTTTATCTTATTCGAGATTCATATTCTTAAATCTGTAGATGTATGTCTTTCACTAGATTTGGGGAGTTTTCAGCCACATTTCCTTTGAATATTTTCTGAGACCCACATTCTTTCTCCCAGATTCTGTCCTCTTTTTTAAGTCTATTTACTTCTGTATTGTTCAGATTTGATAAATTAAATTGATCTGACCTCCACTTCACAGAGTCTATTCTCTGTTACCTTTACTCTACTATTGAGTCCATCCAGATGTTTTGGGTTTTTTGTTATCATTGCATTGTTTAGCTCTATAATTTGGTATACTTCTTTTCTATAACTATTATATCTTTATCACATTTTTTTCTTTTTGTATTTGATTCAACAAGACTCATAATTTGCTAAAGCATTTTGTGATGACTGATTCCAAATCTTAGATAATTCTAACCTCTGAATCATTTATTGGATGTGGGAAAGGTGGAGTGAAAGCTCACCTCCCCATTCATCACTATGGAAAATATGGGGGCATGAAGAGAATGGTTTTCTGAGATGGTTTGAAGTATAGCTTGTATTATGAAAAATGTTTCCTGTTTTATTAGGCCAATTTTTTTTCTCAGTCCTTTGGCTACAGAGTCGGGTCTTGTGTATGTGTGTGTTTTGTCATTGCCTGTTGGAGTTTCTGGCTTGTAGACTTCTGCAATGTCCTGTCTGAGATGTATGAAAGTCACTAAGGAAACCAAGGGCCCATTGCTGAGTCATTCCTCAAAGCACAAGGTCTTTTAGTAGTCTGCCAACTTCTTTCTACCTTTTACAGTTTCTCCTATGCTTGTTTGTTGTTTTGACTCAGTATATTTTAGTAGCAAGAGGAAGGACCTAGGAGGAATGAGGCTATCCATCTTGGCCAGTTCTTAATTGTCTTTATAAATCTCTGAGGATCGGGTCTCCCCGTGATGGTCCGACCTTGCTACTTGCCACTTATTATAGTAATTGTATACACCTGGACTCTATTATTCTGGATCCCTGCCACGCACACTGATTATTTCGATAGAGTCCAGAATGGGTCTCTTGCACTCCTACACATACTGTTGGATTTGTCAAAATTGCAAGACTGTAACTACTCATTTGTTCTGGACCTTTCCCAGGATTGTTTATGCAGCTAGGAGTTCTGAGAAATCAGGTCATATTTTGTTCCAGACAAAAAGCCACCTTGCTTCTGCTTGCCAGTAACTTTAATATTAGTCTGACTATGGCTTTTGCTGTAAGTACTAATTTGTCTCTGATCCAGGAGAATCTTGTCCTTTGCTAGCATCCATGAAATTTTGGCAGACCAATGTATTACCTTCTATTAAGGGTAAAATCAATATGTTCATAGCCATTATTAAGCTTATGTTCTTAATAATTTCCTATGTTATCATTTCTTATCTATGGAAGACAGATACCGTGTTTTCTTTCCAATGCATTCCTTTTTGTCTTAGGAAGACACGTATCCCCTGTTTCTTTTAATGGAGCATAACTGCTTGTTGTATATGTTAGCTTAGATAATCATTTGTTGTATATGTATATGTCATAATAGATAACATATCTATTCTATCTTGTTTATTTCTCTGGGCATTTCAAATACTTCTTTCATGGTCTGTCGCATTAATTCTGATGTACTAACTATATTTAATATTAGATATAACTTTTACAATACATCTAGGAGCCATCTTAGTGTCAACTTTGCACAGTCTCATGGGACCCTTCTCATGGGGAAAGGAAAAGGAAAGAGGAGAGACATAATTTAACAGATGTCTTGTTTTCCAACTGAAGAAAGAAAAACAAGCATTGCTAAGAATGCTGGAAATGGTGGGATTTCTCCTCACTATTTGCTTGGTGTCTCTGCCTCATATTTCTCAATCTTCACTTTTCAGGGGAATACAAACAGCCAAGACCTGTGGAATTTCCATATGCAGGTACACTCTTCTCTCATTTCTAGTCCTACAATTACAACACTAATTCATATCCTTAGTTTTATCTCACCAGGATTGTTGCAATAGTGTCTTAAATAGTCTCCTTATGTTCGGTCTCTTTTCTCAAAAGCAACACATATGCTGTGTTTTTATTTACTTTGGCTTCTTAAAAGTTTCCCATTCTTAAATGAAACGTGCTTAGGCATTTGAGGAACTCCATCGACTAGCTTATGTGGTTCCAGTTGTCATTTATTGCTATTTTACACATACCTTTTGTCACTGATTATTTTTGCCACTGACACTGGAATTTTCAGACTGTTACTTTTCTGAAATTTCTTATCTCTGCCCATAAAATCTCTTCATTTACCACTGTCTACTAAACATTATTACAATCACTTATATTTTCAAACACTGTCCATCTAGTCTGTGTGAATCTGACCTTATAATTTTTTCTTCAGATCATAGTTTTATGCAACTAATAATAAGCTAACCTACATAACTATATTACCTGCCTAAGTCTGATAAGTTACAATTTAAGAGTAGATAAATTTAAATTCTTTTAAAATTATTTTATTAGCCTTTACTGGTGGTAAGAAGTAATTGTAAATGTCAGTTTGATCAACTTATACAGATTCATTAAATTTTTAAAAATCTTGAAGATTTTAAAGCAAGTGCTAATTTATACAATTTTCAAGTAATTGTTTTATTTGGGGGGGACACAAGACCTATTATTCATTTCTTAAATTTTATATATACATTTTGATAATTTTGTAACCTATAAAAAACAAAATATCAAGTAAGTCCTGAAAGTACAGCATATTATTACTGTAGAATATAGTTTTATTGTGAAAAATAAACAGAAAGTGTGAAAAACACAGAATAACTTAAAAGAATGCTGATATAAATATATTTACAACTTGTAAGTTGTAAATACATTTATATTCAATTTCATTTGAATATGATTTGGACACAGTAACTTAAAAGAATGGTGATATAAACGTATTTACAACCTATAAACTAATCTAATAGTTAAAAATATTTAAACATAACCTTATCCAATTTTATTTTTTGTAAATGCCAAAGACTTAGTGTTTCAAATGATCTACATTTTCAAAGATCAATATTGCCATTTTCAATTTTTTATATTTCTCTAAGTTCTAACTATAGTGTATAATATTTACATGTGTTGCAAACACTATTTTAGAAGTTGGAACTTTAAACATCAACTCTGTTATTTTATATATTAGCAGCAACTAATTCTAGAAGTTCCAAAACTTTTGGAAACTTATTTTGAAATGTATATATTTTTGAAAAAAAAATCAGAAAGTTTTAATAAAAACAAAGATTAATTATTAAGTCTTTTATCTTTTAATGGATTCACAATATATAAATTTTATACTCCTTGGATATTATCTTCATTCTCATAACAACCCAGGAAATAAAGTATATTATCATTTGTGAATATATTGACATAATAATAATGATAAAACCTAATATTAATTCATAATTTAACATATACCAGCAATTTTACTATGCTTATGACATGAATCACTTATTTAAAACACTCCCATTTCACGGCTGAAACCATGAATGGTTCAGAAACATGCCTGACTTAAGAGAGTGGAATCTGACTGGAATTCCAGGTTCGACCTTCTCCACTGCCGGGGTTTTAAGACCTACTGGTGCTTCACAGACGTGCAATTATTTTTATTAAGTTGCTATATCCATGTCTATGTCTTTGCATTTTGATCTGCATTTTATTATTGTTTATCATTTATTTTCAGGGACTTCCAAGTGTAAAGTGCTTATTTTAGGACCTGCAGTGGGAAGGAGACATGCAGGTTAATTTTTTTCTGCCACATTGATCCTACACATTTCTGAGAGACAGAGCAAAAGTTGTGAAGGGGGATCCAAAGTGTCAGGAATCAAAAGCTTACATGGATCAATGGTAAAGACAAAAAACAATAAACTATGAATGTAGGTTTATTCAATACATTGGCCTGACAGATTTAATTTCTGCTCATTAGCATTGTATTTATGATGGTAAAATATGACTTTGAAATATATTTTTTATAAGGTAAAATGCACAAACAATTTTATAGAAATTAAATATCTTTGTTCTCTTCTAGGACTCATGCTGTTCATGAATATATAAACTATTAAATATTAAAACATGTTTAGTAATTCATATTCTATATTATTGTAATTTTAAGTATTTTGGACAAGAATTAAAAATATTCATTTTTTAAGCAATGACTTATTTCTGTTTGTAAAGTTTTAATAAAATGCAAAATCATATTCAGGAAAGATGGTTTAAAAGTTTGCAGACACTTACCATGTGATGGTACAGAGATGCTATTACTGTGACTATGATTGCATTCTCCACACAATTTCACCAAATTCTGATTGTTATGTCTCTATTTACGTCTTTTTTTTTTTTCTTCCTTACAACAGGTAAGCTAATCTTGCCATTCTCTTTGTCCTTCGCCTGCCAGAATGTTTGGAGTCTCTCAAATTAAATCCAGTTACTCTGTAGCAGGTCCAGCCTTGTCAATGCCAATAAACATGGTCCAACAAAAAGCAAGTAAGTAATACAATCAGTCTAAAGAAGAAAACTGGCAGGTCTGCCACGCATTTTATGCTGACCACTGCCCTTCTACTCATCTAGACTAAAGTCACATGAACTACTTCGGCATTTATGTCAAAATATTAAGTCATTGATGTTTGTGTCAACTGAAGTTGAAGTCCCTAAGAATTTTTGTTTTAATATAATCTGCTGTTATGGCCATTTGGTTCTTTGAAATTAATTTCATGGCTTTCACTTGCAGTTATTAGAGGTCACTTGTCAGATGTGGTCTATTTTTCTAGTCTGTCAAAATCATCTTTGTATCACAATTTTGTGCTCTAATATTTCATGTTAGCAAAAATGTAATATCTGTATGCTATCTATGTGCTAAAATTAAGCCAATGATAAATATACCCAATAAACAAAGGTCAAGTTTAAAATATAATTTTTTATTTTGAATACTCTTATTATTCAAAAATCATATTCACAGTTTAAAAATATTTTATTACTGCAGAGCAAGCACCATGTTAGGCAGCATATCTTTGATTTCCCCATGAAATTAAATACCCTTGTTCAGAAAACAAATATATATATATATATATATTCATTTATATTATATGTGTAGTTCTTGTTCTATTATATATTTAGATAGTTTTCCATATTTCCCAAATAGGCTTCCAAAATATTAGGTTTATTCCATCATTTTTGTCATAAAATCTTTTTAAAATAATATTTAAGAATGTATCAGTGTTAACATTGTCCGATAACGAAACCATTATTAGTTACACAAAAACTTCATGATGATAGCTAAACAGACAAACAGATTCTCCCTAACTGAAGTAAAAACTAATATGCAAATTGATACTAAAGTCAGGAAAGGAAAAGAGATGGCTTATGCAAAGGAAATCGATGCTCAAGATGTCTGTAAATCTGTCAGATCAGAAAACAGAACATGCAGCAAACATGAAAATGAACCCCTCTTCTACCTTTTATAGAATATGTTAGTTCACTGATGTGGAAAGAACAGTATCTTTAAATTAGTGACATCAATACAAAATAAAAAATTCTGTTGATTATTTTATTTTTAAAATTAAAACATTGATTAAAAGCATCAATTATTTAAAACAATAATAAAATTAGTAGACAACACATACAACATATTTTACAATTGTTACATATCTTATTTAATAAATTTATACGTAATTTACTGTACTAAAGAATGCAGCGCTAAGTGAGAATTAACTGAAAGAACTAAGATCAAATGTGATAGTTTAGAATAAACATAGATTTGAGGATCTTCAAGTCAACAATAAAGGACCGAAGGTGCCGAACGTGAGTGGCCTCATTGATCGACGTGAGTGAATTCAGATACAACTCAAGCTTGCTAAAGGGCTCTTCAAAAATAAAAAACTGATTCCGTGCAAGAGAGCAAAGTTACTGCTGTTTACTGTTCAGAGACTTACAGGTGCTTGCCAGCATTGCAACAGGGACTCATTTATTGAGCAAGACTTATAATTATCTCTTCGTTTGGGAGATCCTAATAAACTGTTACTACAATTTCTCTACTGACTTTCAAAATTTTGAAGTTTGAAAGACACCTTTGCAACTAAAACAGCATAAGCACAGCCAGAAGAGAGAACCTTGTTATAATGGGTCTGTCCAGTCAAAATGGTCAGCGGAGGAGCCCTTTGAAACCCAGTGGTGACCCTGGGAGGGGGCCAGACACAGCAACAGATTACTTATTTGTGTGAAGTGCCTTATGCTGAAAAACACCAGGACAATCAATAATGGCACCCAGCAGCAAGCACAGTTTAGACCACCATTATTAGATGTGGCGACGACTGGAAAAAGACTTTAAAACTCCCTCCGAAAAATCTAAGAATCAAACCTTCAGATGTGACCTCCACAAAAGAAAATGAGTTTGAAGATTATTGTTTGAAACGGGAGTTATTGATGGGAATTTTTGAAATGGGCTGGGAAAAGCCACTTCCTATTCAGGAGGAGAGCAATCCCATTGCTTTATCTGGTAGGGATCTTAGCTAGAGCAAAACATGGAACAGGCAAGAGCGGAGCCTACCTCATTCCCTTACTTGAACTGCGAGATCTGAAGAAGCACAATATACAAGAAATGCTGCGTATTCCAACTAGAGAACTTGCTCTACAGGTTAGTCGCATTTGCATGCAGATCAGGAAACACATGGGAGGGGCGAAAGTGATAGCAACCACAGGAGGAACCAATTTACGAGACGAGGTACTAAGGCTTGATGATACAATGCACAATGCACGTGGTGATTGCTACCCCTAGGAGAATCCTGGATCTTATTCAGAGAAGAGTCCGGGCATGGTGGCTCACGCCTGTAATCCTGGCACTCTGGGAGGCTGAGGTTGTCAGATCACGAGGTCAAGAGATGGAGACCATCTTGGCCAATGTGGCGAAACCCTGTCTCTACTAAAAATGAAAAAATTAGCTAGGCTGGTGGCATGCGACTGTAGTCCCAGCAGCTCAGCAGGCTGAGGCAGAAGAATTGCTTGAACCCGGGGAGGCAGAAGTTGCAGTGAGCTGAGATTGTGCCACTGCACTCCAGCTTGAGCAGCAGAAGGAGACACCGTCTCAAAAGAAGAAGAAGAAAAAAAAGAGTAGCAAAGGTTAATCACGTCCAGATGATAGTATTGGATGAGCAGGCAGATAAGTTGCTGTCACAGAATTTTGTGCAGATAAATGGAGGATATTATTCTCATGCTACCTAAAAACAGGAAGATTTTACTATATTCTGCTACTTTTCCTCTTAGTGTACAGAAGTTCATGAATTCCCATTTGCAGAAACCCTATGAGATTAACCTAATGGAGGAACTAACTCTAAAGGGAGTAACCCAGTACTATGCATGTGTAACTGAGCTCCAAAAAGTACACTGCCTCAATGCACTTTTCTCCAGGCTTCAGATAAACCAGTCGATCATTTTCTGTAACTCCTCTCAGCAAGTTGAATTGCTAGCCAAGATTTCTCAACTAGGTTATTCTTGCTTCTACATTCATGCTAAAACGAGGCAGGAACATCAAAATTGTGTATTTCATGATTTCTGAAATGGCTTATGCCACAATCTTGTTTGCACTGATCTGTTTACGCGAGGTGTTGATATACAAGCTGTGAAAGTGTTAATAAACTTTGATTTCCCAAAGCTGGCAGAGACCTGTCTGCATCATATTGGAAGATCAGGTCGCTTGGGTCATCCTGGCTTAGCCATCAACTTGATCACATGTGATGGTCGCTTCAACCTGAAAAGTATTGAGGAGCAGCTGGGAACAGAAATTAAACCTATTCCAAGCAACATTGACAAGAGCCTGTGTGTGACAGAATACCACAGTGAGCCTGCAGAAGATGAGAAACCTTAACAAGCATGCTTTGACAAACTACAGAAGGCTCGTTTGGATCTGTGACGCATCGTTTTGAGGGGAATGCTCTTCTCTTTGTGGGTTTTTCATGTTTTATTTTGGAACTATGAAGACTTAAAAGAGCTCAGGCACTTTTTCTTTTTTAACTGGTGATGGGAAAAAAGCTGAAAAGAAGGAATATACCTTTTTGGTTCCACTTGTTTGCACTATGTGCTTACTTAACATTACTTGCCCTAACTACTGGTTTTTTAAAAAAAAAGTTTTCTGGGGAAAGGTGACAAGGAAGTAAAAGAAAGAAGAGAAGGGGAGAAACCCTAAAAAGAGAAGAATCTTAATGAACACACAAGCTTATCTATGATTTCAAAATTCTCCAGTAGCTGACTTGAATGCATTTCAACTTCTCCGAGTCCTCATTTGTTTTTTTTTTTTTTTTTTTAATTATACTTTAAGTTCTAGGATACATGTGCACAACGTGCAGGTTTGTTACACATATACACCATGGAATATTACTTATCTGATTTTTTAAACCTGAAGAGCTTATTACTTATTTGTGTGAAGTGCCTTACGCTATGAGACCATTCAGAATATCATCTTTTAGACACAGCTCAAGGAATCAACAATAGTAACTCTTTCCTTTTTTCTTTTTCTTTTAAAATATTTTGTCTTTTCATTTTAGTTTCAAGTTGATGCCTCTTCCCTTTCTACCCAATACTCAATGAGCCCAGGGCTGGAAGATAAAACTCATTAGTAATTTTAGACACCATTTTCTTTCTCTTTATGTGGATGAGCTGATATACAACTGCAGTTCATCCACACTGTAAATACATGTATTTAAAAAAAAACAATCCTGACTGGGCGCAGTGGCTCACGCTTGTAATCCCAACACTTTGGGAGGCCAAGGCAGGTGGATTGCCCGAATTCAGGAGTTCGCAGCCAGCCTGGGCAACGTGGTGAAATCCTGTCTCTACTAAAATACAAAAAATGAGCCAGGTGTGGCAGCATGCGCCTATAGTCCCAGCTACTTGGGAGGCTGAGACAGGAGAATTGCTTGAACCCGGGAGTCACGGGTTGCAGAGAGCCGAGACTGCACCACTGCACTCCACCCTGGGCAACAGACCGAGACTCTGTCTCAAAAAAATAAAAAATAAAAAATAAATAAACAATCTCAAGTAAAAATTTATTCTGGGCTGAGCAGATAAAACATCATCACTCCCAAAGGAAAGAGCAGTCTATCATTGCAGGAGCCGTATGACAAGCCTTTGTGCCCTACAGCAGACACTAAAGTCTGGTTTACACACGCCTCCCATAGCAGTATGGCACTTGATGTATAGACGTGTGAGGGCCTTGACCCTCTTTCCTCTGTGGCAAAACGTGTCCCGTAGAAAAATGAGTGAGTATATTTGTATAAACTTTGTAAATACGTTCTTTTTCTGGGTTTAGATAGATAGATAGACAGACAGATAGATATTTTGGATGAAGGTTGCTGGGATTAAGGGGATTAGAGTGATTATAGGAACAGCTAAAGATGAGAGGGGGCTCAGTGTTACCCAACATAAATTCTAGAAAGTACTTTGGCCTCTTGCTGTAGAAAGCAGATTTCTATGGTTCCCTGTGTTAGTAAAGGGCCCCAGCAATCTGGGATGTAGTGTTTGTGGCACACTGTGTCGTCTAGTACCTTTAGAGTAGATTTACCAGAGAGGGCAAGGAAGCTTCAAAACATTGATAATCATATATATATATATATATATATATATATATATATGGTTTTTTTTTTTGAGAAACTCTGATTTTGCTTCTTCTCCCTTTCTAAAAGTTTGAGGAATATTTGAAGCTATGCAAATGGGGGCAAAGATTAATCTACCTTGCAATGTGGGAATTCTGTTGAATGGCAGTGTGGTTGAGCAGTATATATATAAAGCACAGATTTGCATTTCAGAATATTAGCCAGTACCAACTTTGGTAATGTTAGCAGTTCTGGAGCTTAATTTTCTGTGGATCATTTCCTCTAGTGTGTAAATGTGTTGCCCTCTGCCCACCTTGATACATAA